CTAGTGCAATTTACGAAATCCCCTCTCTCGGTGTTTATAAGCACTCTCTGGAAGGATGGAAGTTGAGAACACCCACTCGCGTGTTTCAAAACCCATTGTTATGATAAGATCCCTCATGCAACTAGATCTAGCGAGGATGCCATTTCATGCAATTGAGCTATTTGTCACGAGTAGAGGACGTTCATCGACAGACAGGAGTTCCTGAAATGGACATTTTTAGCCTATTTGGCACGGGGCGCCTCAACTCCAATCGGTTGGACATGGATCGTGGGCAGGTCTGACCTGATCCCACTTTAATTACGGAGCCACGTCCTGTCGAGCGAGCTCGAGGACACTTAAAGTCGCCTAGTAGTGGCGTTCACTAACTTATCCCGATCGCAGGACTAAAGTTGCGTAACCGTTCTGCGACCTGGACAGATTTGTTGGACTCCTTTATGCATATTCAGTTCAATCTCGGAAATACAGAAGAACGCACTGAACCCGTTAACATCTATTCCCAAATGGTAAACCTAAACGCCGCTCGCCGGGTATTATTCGTATCAACATACTCAGCACAAAGTTGTGTAGCGGTTCCTTACTGAAACAGACGCCTGACCATGTGACATCTAACCAGGCTCGAGGAAGTCTCTTCACGAACAATGGTCTGCCTTGGCGAACTGCCAAAATAAGTTTTGCCTTGACCTATGCTTCCACTCTTCAAGATAGGTAACGGGACCAGATCGAGGCCAACAGTACTGAGCTTACGACGCCTACAAAGAATGCACCAAAACAACTTCAGTCGTCGCCCCGCTGTCAGAGGAGCAATAAATCGAATTAGGAGAGATCTCAGCGAGTCTACGTTAACAGAAAACATTAACTGTCCCCGCCCCTCTCTCTCTCTATTACTCCCAAAACTCCGCAGAAAATAGACGGGAAAATAGACAAAACAAAATGTTGCAACGCTGTAACAGCAAAACAGGAGCTTACTACAGAGAGGAACTGATATGCGGAAGCGCGCCGGAGGCAAGCAGAGCGCGGAATAACCAGATACAACAAACGGCGGGGTGGTGATGGTGGTGGTAAGGGGTCATAAACTCAAAAAATACCTAACAGCCTGTACGAAGTTATAGTTTACAAAGACAAAATATGACGGGCAAGAAAGCAGCCAAACAGACGATAACCGGTATTACATATGAACTGTCCATGGAGCCGTAGGGGTCTGGAGCGGGAGGGGCATTTAGAGGCAGCGATCGCGGTCGCCTTGAAGGTGTGGGAGTGGTGAAGGTATCAGGCTGCGGGGGCTCCGGCTCTTGTTGTTGTAGAGGTGGCAACTTTGGCACATCTGAAAGGCGGAAAAAAAGAGAACTCAAGAAAAAGACGATAATGCGTACGTCTTGGTACCTATGCTGCTCCATCATATGAAACGATTACTACCACTGGAGATAGGGCTGATTCAGTAGACAACCTTCAAACACCCATTCCACCTGAAGCGATCTTTACTTGCTCGGGTATCACATTGGTTGCAATTGCCATAAAAGCAACGTTCAAGATGGGCCAGTGCAACTTGGCCTTCAATGTGAAGAAGCAAGCTATCCCACCAGGTGATAGGTTTCCTTATTGGCGAAAGTGGGCAACGTTGCCTGAGTCTCTCTCTCTCTCGTCTCCTCATCTACTTTCACGTACTAGCGTCAAGTCTGGATCAGGTTGAGTGGAAATAAGTTCAAGTAACCAGACGGTCAATGGCATTATAACCCTCCCAACCCGTCTGGTCTCTAATTAGCTCTGATGCCATAACGCAGTCCATTGTAAAGTCTACAAGGACTGCGTCAAGATACGTGGGTTTTTTTGGAAGTCGGGCTGCTTCCCTTCTCTTGCAGCAACCTTGGGTATTGTAGAGGAGAATATAAGGTAAGAAGAGAAAGTACAAAAAGAGGGGATTAGTCATGAAATCGGTGCACAGTGTGTCCGTGTGTGGTTAGGTGGCATTTGGTACCCACATCAGACAACTGACCGGCTGACGATGGCCTGATGCTGGCGGG